GAATAAAATAAATGGTTCTCGCTCTCTGAGCTGCACTGACCTTGGCGGGCCTGCCGGCTCCCAGTAGCGGCAGAACAGGTGCTGTCCGTCGGCGTTGACGATGTGCTGCAGCTCGGTGTAGGGGACTCCCTGCGGGCTCCGCCGCGGAGCAGCTCCTGGCTCGGGCATGGAGGGGTCGTCTGGAACAGAGAGCAGCGATGACAGCACATCGTAGCCGTAGAGGTAGCAGCTGACGGCGGCGACGAGCAGGCAGGCTGCGGTGCTCACGGTGTTCATTCTTTTTTTTAAATTTATTTATTATTCTTTCTTTAAAATTATTATTTATTCTCTCGCGCTATAATTATTCTTTCGGGGCGCGCGCGCGTCTGGAAGCGCGCATGGAGAATGATGATGGTGACAGACTTTGGAGGTTTCGTTCTGGTCTAATTCTGAGCTGCGCGCGCACGAACAACACACACACGGGCACGGGCGCGCGCATGAGCCTGTCAAACCGGTGTTACGTCATGAGCCCATATGCTCTGCTGTTTCTCTCTCTCTGGTTTTACTTCTTCTCCTGCCCCAGTTCGTTCAGGTTTAAAATACAACTAAAATTAAACACAGGATCTTCTGCACGCAGAGTGCTAACACATAATAATTTCACTTCTAACTTTATTTATTTACTCTACTTGTGTCTGCAAGCACTAATCCTCCCCATTATCCGATCCGATGAGATCTCCTCTGTTTTCAGGTGGATCCTGTGGCCAGGTGGCGTTATCTGTAGTTACAGCGCGGACGATCCGCATGTGCGCACCTGACGCACGCACCCCCCACGCCTGGAGGTTAAAAAAGGTCAGTTAAAGCTGTTTCCTGAGGTGAGCAGATGTTGTGTTTTCAGGTTTAGTGACATGACAGCAGGAAGATCAGCTTTTTTCCCCCAAACAAGCCAAAGGTTACAGCCTGACAGCTTATAATTATCATCCAATTAATGCAATTAAATTAATATAATGATAACAAATGCGCACCTGCATTTTAAAAGCCATTCCATCCCAATCATTTGTCGGTCAGAAATGTTTGGATAAACCCTTCATTTAAAAAAAAAACGAGTGCATTACACTTGGATTGATTTTTACGCTCAACAAGCTGAGTTCTGCGCAGAGAAACGTGTCTGTGCCAAAGCGGAGCGCATAAAACAGAGTGGTGGACGATGCATCACGCGCATCGACATGTGGATGTATTACTATCAACCTGGAGCTGGAGCCTTCCGGAACAGGCTCTTCAGCCGTGCGCGTAAAAATCTCGCTTTTTTTTTGTTGCGCCGCAGTCAAACCTTCTTTGAGAAGAACATCCTCACTGCCACGGAATAAAAAACGGTTCCCCCGCTCGGATGCTGATGGTCTCACCAGCACACTGAGCACCGACACTCGCAGCTTTGGGTGATTTTGGATGAACGCAGCCCGGAGATGATGCGCGAACGTCTCCAACTCCTGCTGGAGGGTTTTCACGCTGAAGATGGGAGACGGAGCCGCCTGCCATCCACATGGTCCCGCAGACGGATCCCGAGCCTCCTAATGGAAGTCTGAACTGTTAGAAGAAGAAGAAGAAGAAACGGGATCACGGAGCTCAACCAACCTGCGCAGAAGCGTCCGCAGCGAACTTTTTGCTCCGGTCAACACAAAAAACGCAATCGGCGACGTTTGGGGACAAACTAAATAAGTGTTCACACACATACACACACATACACACACCACCCTTTCTTTCTCCCCCGCTCTCTCTCTCTGACGGGTTCTCTCTCTTATACACAGGCATTTCCCCTGAAAGGCGGAGATGCAGCTCTTCCATCCCTCTCTCAGTTTAGCCTCATTTACTGTTAAAAAAAATCAGCTTGAGACCACATGGTTCCCATTTGAGCATCCCAGTTCCACCAAATGCATTTATCAATAGTGACTGGAGCTTCATTCCTCTACATCACTTGTTTTTATTTTATTTTATTTTCCACCTAATGAGAACAAGCTTGGAGTAAAAAAAAGGTTTTGCATCACTGTCCAGCTATGCAATGTAAAAAAAAAAAAAAACTGTTGGTCTTTCCTTCCTACTTTTATCATTGTTTTGTAAAAGGGTTGGGCAAGATCTGCTTGTTTGTGGTAAGATGGAGACACTTCTTTATTGGGTAAAACAAGCTGTTATCACTGAGCTCGTGTGTCATTGTTTCTGTTTCTAAATCACCTAAAGAAGAAGAAGAAGAAGAAGAAGAAGAAGAAGAAGAAGAAGAAGAAGAAGAAGAAGAAGAAGAAGAAGAAGAAGAAGAAGAACAAGAA